GTGGACCTCCGTACTCATCGCCAAAGAAGATAGAGGGTGTAGGCCCAAGAGAAAAAGTCGACGTAAAAAGCTCTCGCTAAAAAATAAAATAAATAAAAAAACTCAGGCCCCTGTTCTGAAGACGGACTAGGATCATAATAGTCTGTGATACTAACAGAAAATTAAAAAGTTTTTAAAGCCGCACCCGATTTTTAATGGGATTTTTAGTCATTACTTTAAGTAATAAAACATATTAGTAATTAATATTAAATTCACTTAATTTAATTTTTGTCTCTAAGGGCTTATTATATGTAGGTCAATTACACAATAAACAATGGTTCTAGAATATAATGTAATTAACACTCACATAATATTAAATTTAATTTTAGTAAAACCCTTGTAACATGTAAACGTCGATAATGTACGTGCGTCATCCTCAAAACAGCCCTGCGATTCTGTAACTCACTTTTCGAACTCACACAGCGGTTTTCACAGCGGCGGTCGCGCTCAAATCAGTCGTAAAGCAGTCATTAAAAGTGCGTTACAGAATCGCAGGGCTGTACTCTGTCATAGTCGACTCCTTTAGTAATGTTTCGCTGTATGGGCCCCAATATACAAAATTCATACAGATAGATTGGAATCTACACAAAGGCGGTTTGCTAGAGCTTTCTGCTCAAAGTATGGTCTTAGGCACAAAAAAAAGCAATATGAACAGCGTCTTGTCCACTTTCAGATTGTAAGTCTTGAAAGGAGTAGATGGATGAGCGACGAGTGCACTTTACATGAAATAGAAAATGGCTCACTTGACAGCTATCTTTTGGATAAACTTGACGCATTCTGTCCGTAACCAACAACTATTTATAATACCCACAAGTAACAACAATGTATCCCAGAATGGTCCGCTCGCTAGAATGTGCAAGTATTATAATTATGTGTGTACTCATGTTGATTTCACAATAGTATTTATGAATTTAAAAAGATTATTCGCGGTGAAGACTTGCAACCTGAATAAATTCTATTTTTTGTCATTAAATTTAATATATCTATACTGTATGTAATAGTTGATATTTAGTAAACCAGCACTGAAGTTGCCACTAAAATGCTGTGTACTTGGACTTCAGGTTTACAAATGTTGTTAAGTTTGTAATAACTTAATGTATTTAATCAATCTGTTGTCTGTTTCTGTACCGTAAATGTAAAAATATAGAAGGCGCTGTACAGAAACCGGTGGAAACAGATAGTCCGCTCCAGACGCTATCTTGCTGACCACGACGCTCAGAAATGTGCTGCCGATTGAAGAGAGAGTACAAAATATCTTATACATAAAGTTCCTCTTAAAAAGCTGCAACTGATTTCGACATTTAAACTTTTTAAAAACACAAAACGTATTATACAAAACTACGAAATCATGTCAACTACGAAAGTGTATATTTAAATATAAATTACGACACGTACAATTTAAGATACCGTCAAATTGAGAACCCCTGTATCCAACTCTACTACTAGGCGTATCATTGTCATGTAAGCTATCAATACCAGCTTAATTTGTAAATGCATATATGCGTCTAATTACAATCCAGTTCATACAATTGGTATTGTATGCATGAAGGCTGTACTTGCCATATATGGAAATTGGTGTGGGCATAATTGTAATATGAATTATTCGTATTGATTTAGATTGCGTAGTATCGTTATAAGATAAAATTATAGTTAGAGAAATAACATAGAAACGATAATTTAGTAGAAGTGATTCTGAAGGGTCGTACATTCGATCTCCTCAAAAAAATTATGAATGAATTCTATGCCGCCTCGAGCTTTTCATAAAATATAAATAGACAAAGGAAAATTCGATTTATTATTTATGTTTAAAGTTAAAAATTTAAACTGTTCCCTTAGTTGGGATTACCAAATGTAAAACGTTTTGATTGAAATTTGTCGAAAACATATACTCTTATTTTTTTTTGTAAACGTACCTACTTGCCCGCTCTGGCCTAGGCTCTCATCCCTGAGGTCGTAGGTTCGATCCCTGGCTGTGCACCAATAGACTTTCTTTATATGTGCGCATTTAACTTTCGCTCGAACGGTGAAGGAAAACATCATGAGAAAACTGGCTTGCCTTAGAACCAAAAAGGAGGCTGATCACCTACTTGGCTATTAGATAGACAAATGATCATACAAACAGATACAGAAATCTAAGAAAGTTGTAGCGCTACTGATTTATTTATTTTATTTTCGCTCATGAAGTTTTAAGTGTCGTCATTATAATGTTGTCTAATTTTATTATTTCAGCGATCCTTAAAAAATATCTAACACATAAAAGAATAAAAGATGCTATTTTGCATAATTTTTGATAAATGTAGAACAATTTGGCAACTAAACAATACAGTTTCCATTTATACGTAAGCATTGAATACACAAACACTCGATTAACGCGACATCATTATCTCTTATCACTGATAAGACGGTGACGTCACGCTGTGTCACTGATTACTAGCTGGTTGATGTAACAGATTACGAAGCTTTTGCTCTAATCGAAGATAGTTTAACATCAATATTTGTGTTCATATTTATCTTTATGTCAAATTGTGTTTACGATGTGATAATACATAAGTACATTATTTAAAACAGTGCAGTTACGAGAAGACTTAGTTTTTGTTAGTGAGTGAGTGAGTATTATTTTTACAAGTGTATAAACATATTTTCCTATATCAATGAGTGGGTTAACAAAATCAAAAGCTCTACAAACAAAACGTCATCCTAGTATATTTTCAGTCATATAAAGTCAGAATAATTAGTAAACTTTTATGAATATTCTCTTTGAATAACGCAGAACTCATGTTTAAATCATGGAGTATTTCAATTTGTTTATCCGTTTCGTTTATATATACGAATATCGGTTGAAAATGCTTTGATATTGATATTACTATCCTTTGAAATCTGAACTATTATAATTCTGAAATCTATAAAGCTTTCTAATATTAGTTTCAATTGTGGTATCGTTATATTGCGCATCTCTTAATAATAATAATAAAAGCCCTTTTTTAAAGCCGTTACTTTTGTTATTATACTCTTATAATACGTTAGTTACTATTATTTCCGTTTCTTTGAGTTCTGTAGTGACCCCTTTTGGGTAAAGGCCTCGTCTTGAAATTCCATATGGATCTATTGTTAGCTTCCTCCATCCAATTCTCCCCAGGAACCTAACCTAACCTAAGTCATCAGCCCATCGCTTTTGTGGTCTTTTATGTGTGCATCTTGCAATATGGCCCGCCCATTTCCATTTCAGCTGTAATGCGTGGGTTAGCGCCTCGGTGATCTTCGTTTTCGCCCTGGTCACTTCGAACTTTGAGGAACTTTTTTATTTTTACGATGCACAACTCTTAGCCCTATTTAATTTTGAAGGGAGTATTTAAAGACTTAACACTAATGCTGATTCCTGCGCAAATGCAAATGAATATACGGGCAGTCATAGTTAATCTAAGGCAATGCTAAGACCATTACGAGTCAAGTCAAATCATTTATTTAATTAAATAACATAATTTAATCATTTATTAGGCCTATTTAAAAAGGCTCTTTTGAAAGTCAAAATTACTGGTTAAAATATTTTAAAAAAATTACTCTTGTTGCCCCTTCCAAAAGGTAGTTTCATATGGAGAAGAATGGGTAAGAAACTCTTATACTTTAAATACTTACTCTTTTAATAGTTTTACAACTGTCATCCCATGGTCATTGGACCCCCACAAAGGTCAAAATTATCTGGGGCAGGCTAATCAACTGCCTATACCTACACAAAAATCAATTTGAAATCAGATACAGAAATCTGTTTCCTATTCACCTCTGGATTATTAGAAGATTACATTTCGCTGTAAGCAGCTATGAAAGTTAGTGACTTAATTAATGGTCGTCAGAATTGAAAGACGGCAAGCATCTCATCATCATGTATAATTGTAGTTGGTTCTGTGCATGTAATTAGAATGAAATTACGCTAACTACATAGAGTGTCATGTTGTAATACCAGTTATAGATATTCTTGAATTAAGGTATAAATTATATGATCTTACGTGCATATATTTTTTTTATTCAGAACTGCCTTGCGATTCTGTAACTCATTTTTCGAACTCTCACAGCGGTTTTCACAGCGGCGGTCGCGCTCGAATCAGTCGTGAAGCAGTCATTTTACGATTCGGCATTCTGATAAACAATAAACTACAAGCTCCCGCCGCTTGTCAAGACGTAATGTGAAGTTGCTTAACATAATACCATGAGATTCCAAAAATTACGTGAGTGACGAAGGGAGAGTTATTAGTGCGAAGTGAACTCACGGATTAACAGAATCGCACTGCTGAACGGACGCCACAATCCTGGTTAAGTAAGATGTGGCCTTTCGGAAGGCCTGTCCAGGAGCAGCCTATTTACCACTGCTTAAATTAACCCATATAAAACTGTCTGGATGTTATGATGGAAGGACACTAAGGCAATTCGAATATATATTTTTTTCGTTATAGAACAGGGGGCAAACGGGCAGGAGGCTCACCTGATGTTAAGTGATACCGCCGCCCATGGACACTCTCAATGCCAGAGGTCTCGCGAGTGCGTTGCCGGCCTTTTAAGAATTGGTACGCTCTTTTCTTGAAGGACCCTAAGTCGAATTGGTACGGAAACACTTCAGTGGGCAGCTGGTTCCACATTTCCACAAAGTGGTGGTGCGTGGTAAAAACTGCCTTGAAAAACTCTCAGTTGTAGACGGCGGACGTCGAGGTGATACGGGTGGAATTTCGTATTCTGCCTTGACGTCCGATGATGAAACTCAGCTGCAGGTATTAATCCGAACAACTCCTCTGGACACTCTCCATGGTAAATGCGGTAAAGGATGCAGAGTGACCCCACATCTCTACGCAACGCCAAAGGATCAAGCCCCCGATCAATATGGATTGGGCTTAAAAATGGGTTGATACTACTATATTATAATCTCTTGCAAATAACTTAAAAGGTGAAATGAAATACAAAATATCAAGTCGATTTCAAATTGTTCCCCATTGTATTAAAAAGTATTTTAATAAGCAACCATCCATACCTATAACGTACGAGTATCCATCCAGGGTTAAGACGCATTTCCTCAGGGCCCCAGACACTGAGCGGTGCCTCTGAGCCCTGGGTGCCCCAAGAGCCCTCCCTCCACCTGGATCACTATGACACTTGTGTACCAACTCTTTGTCATTAACACTACTGTTTCCGTCGACAGATCCCTGCCTGCCATCAAGCAAGGCTCGCCGCATTGTCATATCACTCGTTATCTCCTGTCACATGTAAATTCACTTCACTTAACACTTTCTGTAACAGATAATTTCACTTTCCGTCAATGTATAACACGTTTGTCACATTCACACGTGTATTCGCTTAGCACGGTACTGTAATGGTTTTAAAAAATATTGTAAAATAATACAATTAGAAATTGATGATTAAAATTATGCCAAGAGTATTTAGCATACAAATTACATAATTAAATGGTGACATGACGAGTTTATATAATTAACTGCTTAATTACTGACTGGAAGTACTAAAAAATTATAATTATTATTATTGTGTTTTTTATATATTTTTAGTTTAGCGCAGGATCACCGTGATCACATAACAGGCAACACGTGTTATTATTATTAAAATAATTACTTATAAGATTTTGAATATTATTGTTATCAATCATAATCAGTTAGCTAAATTTATTTCTAAAAGCTTATAATTTATGATACTAAAAGCATCAAACCGTCTGCTAATAACGGAATAATAAAACGAGGAAATTTTCATTGTAACTGGAACTAAAGCTTAAAGAATTGGTAGTTTTCTTTTATGCGAGTCGACATAAAAATGAAAATTAAATGCAAAGTTGCATGCTATCAAGTGGGCGGAAAATATAAAACCATTATTTATCTTTATCGCTTGAACTATTAACAGTGATAGTGATCATTTGTTTTAACGAAAACACCATGCGCAATAAAGTTTTATTGATATATATACGAGTTTTATAAATTGTCTTAAAAACTCAAATTTAAAAGCTGCGAAAAAGCTTACTTTGCCCGCTTTAATTAGATTCCCTTGTACGCTGACGAAAGGAAATTTCGTATCAATTTTCCTTCGCGCCAGAAAGAAATATTTGCCGTCCTAAGTAAACATAGTGTTACAATTTCGACACTTGACAATCGCGTACAGAGTCAAATATATTTTACGGGAATTGTTTTTCCGCCATGGTAACTAGGAACTTATTGCGTCACGGGGTGGGGGAGGTCATTAGTAAACATCGTGATGCCATTCCGATCCGCGAACAACAGGTGTTACCGTGTGACATATATAACTCATTTAGCGCAAATCAAAAGGCGAATTTTTTGAAAATGGAATATTACTTTAGAGGAATTTTCCCTGGTTTTTAAATTACGAAACGCGCGTTCAAGACGGCATGATAGCGACACGACCGATTCGCGTGGATGCCTGCGCGCGACTGCTCTGTCTTAACAGTCCACATGTCCTACAGGTAGCTTGTGATTAGATAGACAGTTTTGAATATTACCTTTTGAATAAGCTCCAGTTTATAAATTATAGCGGTTACATTGCTATTTAGAGCGATTGCAGTTTGTCTGTTTTAAATGTATTTTTTAACGTTACTTACGGGTTATTATAATAAGCGTAAGTTATGTAACCTAACATTAGTTAAGTTTAAGTGTGGTCCGGTCCACCCCTAAATTTTTATTTTATTTTTTAGACAAATTTTTTTGTTGTAATTTTATGATTTTTTTTTTTTTTTTATAAAGACAATTCACACCAATTGACCTAGTCCCATGCTAAGCTGGTGAAACTTGTGTTATGGGTACTAGGAAACGGATATACATACATATTATAGATAGATAGACATATAAATACATATTTAAACACCCAAGACCTAAGCACAACACCAAATGCTCATCACATCGATGTTCGTCTCAGCCGGGGATCGAACCCGGGACCCATGGATTCGCAGTCAGGGGTACTAACCACTAGACCATGATTGAGCCCCCCTTTTCAGCCCTACTTTACTTTATTCATGCAAAAAATTTGGTTGTGATAAAATTCATCTATACCTAGTCTCCGCAATAGGTAGGCCTCTGTATTGTGGGTAAGATTAGGAGTATGATTACAATTATTCCTTGGTAAATGGTTAATGTTAACATTTTTTTAAAGAAAATGTAGTCTTGCATCTAACAAGATTGAAGTCTTTAGAGAATGGATTTATGTTTGACAGGATCAAAATGATTATTGAAGTTTATACATTAGTAGCGGCCAGTCCCGGCACGGGTGGACAATTATTATTTAAACATTTTTTGTAGATATTGATATGTTCTTTAATATTGTAGAACATTATTTTTTCTATCATCGATAGTTTTTGCAGCGCATGCGATGATAAAGATATTTTAAAGGCATTTTTTTACACCTTGGGTAACATTATTTTTACCAAAGTTTAGTTTTTTAGTTTTAGTAGGGTTCTTTATTCTTTTTTTTGGAATTATATATATAATTATATATATTTCTTCTTTAATTATTTTTATTATTACTTTATAGGTTAAGAACATTGTAAATACTGTATTTGTGTAAATAAAAAGAAATACTTTATAAACTAAAAAAAAAAAAAAAATTATATATAATTATTATATATATAATATAAGCTATATTAATCACTGATAATGTAGCATTCAAATGGTGAAAGAATTTTTAATATCAGTCCAGTTCTTTTTGAGCCATTTCGTTACAAACATCTTACATACAAATCTTTCCACTTTATATGATATAGTATAGTTTAGGAATACAGTGTGTTTCGTTATGTTTATATATACAAGCCAGTCGCCTGGTCGCTGATTTCGTGAACATTGAATCATTTAATATTATTATAATATTATTTTTATATCAAAGGCCGGCAAAGCACCCACTAAAAGTGGGTGTCTATGGGCGTTTGTCCCCTATTATATAAAATAAAAATATTTCACGAAATTCGGGGTTCAAAATAACAATAGTCAGTCAGCTATGAAGTCGAAAGTTAAATAGCTGTAGAAATGTTCATAGTGCTGAACATATGCCCATTTTTAACTATAAAGCCCAAGCCTACGTATAATCTAGCCTGAGTAATACTGTTAAATTAAGAAGGAAAGAAGAAGAAGAAGAAGAAAATGTGAGTTTGAAATTTTGATTGATTGAAATTTCATATGCAAATTTCTCACGTCGGCGCTTGAAAAGCGTTCGTTTGAAATGAAGACACAAAGAATTTTCATACGTTGCATACAGCTTTAAAGCACGTTTAAATAATTTAAAGTTGCAATAAAGGTTATAATATACATACTTATAATTAACCTTCGTAAATAAAATAATTATTGAAAAACTTCCGTGTTGATTCCTATATTTCTGAATCAAAATTTAAAGTCAGTGTTATATTTTAATAGCCAAAGGTGGGCGCAAAAAATAATTTTCCGTGTATTTTCCTATATTGCAAGCATAATCTACACAGCAGTAACAAATTAGAAGGCTGTTCTTGTTAATCCGTCCCAAGAGTCAAGTAAAACATGCCTCTAATAATAGAACGTTGTTTGAGCTTTCGAAGCTTAAACAATGCGACAGAATGTTAGAATTTTAGAACTAGCAAGTCAAAGTAAACTAAATAAATTACTTTTGACATAGAAATATTTTTTCAAAGGAATTTACTTCTGCTGGAAAACTTTGTAATATTAATCAATGTTCCTTTATAACCAACTCAATCTAATTATACGAGTATTAAAGTGATATTAAATCTTCACATTTAACGTATGTAAATTAAAATAAATTAGGTCTGGGCCACAGATTTCTGTATCTTTTTCTAATAGGCAAGCAGGTGATCAGCCTCCTGTGCCTGACACACGCCGTCGACTCTTTGGTTTAAGGCAAGCCGGTCTCCTCTCGATGTTTTCCTTCACCGTTCGAGCGAATGTTAAATGCGCACATCGAAAGTCCATTGGTGCACAGCCGGGGAGCCCACGACCTGAGGGATGAGAATCGCACGCTGAAGCGACTAGGCCAACACTGCTGCATTTAACGTATGTAGAATAAAATATATTTTGGGCTCGAAATAAATATTAAAAAAAACACAGAAATTTATTTTTTGAATAAGATAATTAAGTGAAATATGAGTAATAATTTGTTAGAGTCTGTATAATGCCATGATGCCATGAGGTTGATTTGAGCCTGCGACGAGTAAGACGGAAAAACAATTATCATATAAAACGTTTGTCATAATTAAGTCAAGCGTGAATTTATAAGCGACTGAGTGACACACGCCGAAGAAAGCTCTCATGAATTCTGAATCCACATAATGAATTTACCTACAGAAAAAAATATTATACTATGAATCAAGTTAAAATTCGCGTATTTAAGTTTTATTTTATGTATTGACACTTCGTTGCAATACAATATAAAAATGTAACATAATTAAATGTAAAGGAGGGCAACCGGCGGCCTTATCGCTTTCGAGCGATCTTCCAGGCAACCACTGTGAGAAAGGAAAACATGTATTAAATTAGATAAGGTAGGCAAGAAGTGCAAAAATACATATTACATAATATAGTCATTAAGAAAGAAAACAAAAAACAAACTAAACTAATAAAGGATACATGCAAAAAAAAGGAAAAAGTGCACATGAATCATGATAATTTAATTTAAGATCAGTCTCACGTCAGTAAGTAGTTAATACGAAAGTTAGGGATACGATCAGGACACTGTACAGGTAATGTTTGTATAAAAGAAATTTAAAGGAAGATAGAGAAACCTCTGTATAGGTCGGTTATCGAAAGCTGGCGGGTTCACAGTACTCACACTAATGCAATTTCACATACAGTATGTTTCAAAATATGATTTTTTTGCCATGCTATACATTTTAGTCCACTCATACACGACGGACAGTCTATTCATGATGTATTTATGATTGTATTTCAGTTTGACATCACGTCTCGCGCTTATTCACAGACACTACACAAGCACAAAGTGTAAATGTGTTGAAGCCGCCAGCTTTAGTTAACATACCTATATCTAAGTTGATATATCTGAACAAACGTTTGGCCACAATTCCAACTGATGTTAAGTGAGATATGGCCTATCGGAGGACACACCTGTCCTGGTGATAACTGTTTAGCTGCCACTTGAATAAACCTATGTCTTTAGGAAAGATCCAAAGGGCAAAGCAGTTCCACTCCTTCGCTGTTTTACAAAATTTAAATCGTGTAGCAGCATTTGGGGATGA